CCCCGAGTATGAGCCCCCCAGTCATGAACCCTCTGGACCCCCCAGCCATGAGCCCCCTGGGCATCGCTCTCCATGGTGGGCACCCCCTGTACTCCCCCAGGTGTGAATCCCCCAGGTATGAACCCCCCAGCCCTGCAGACCTCCCCAGTCATGAGCACCCCGGCATGGATCCCCTGATCCCCAGGCAGAGCCTGAAGGTCCCAGGCTTCCTCCAGGGCCGATTTTGGTGTCCCAGGCTCCCCCCTGAGCATTGCCCCCCACCGCACACTCTATGCGTGGCAATAAACAGACCTGAATGTGAAGGAATTGTCCTTTATTTGGGGAGTTCACAGTCAGTTTGGGGTGCAAGGGCAGTGCTACAACCCCCTGTGAGCAGAGCTGAGGCTGGGCAGCGGCAGGCGCTGGGGGGGCTGCAGGGCAGGCAGGGACCCCCGGCAGGCTTGGACCCACAGGAAGACAGCCAGGACAGGGGGTCTGCAGCGCTCCCCTCTCCATCCCTCCCACCACGCGATTCTTTGGCTTCCTTTGGACATTGCACGCTCCGGGGATGTGCAGAGGAGGGCAGCGGGTGCCTCCAGGCGGGCTGGGTCCCTGGCAGCCCCCCAGGGATTGGGAATGTCGCTGTGTCTCCCCTTGGCACATCCACATCACTTCCCACAGCTTCCTTCTCCGTGCGCCTCCTCCCCCTGCCCATCCCGTCCTGGCAGCAGGACCACAACCAACACCCGGGATGGGCACGGGATGGGCACGGGCAGGACGTACCGGTGCCCCCGACACCCTCGGGGCTGGGGGCTGAGCCCCTGATGGCAGGGAGCTGCCCGGGGGTCCCCGCTCTGCTGGCAGCTCCCTGCCCACAGCTGCACCCGCCCGTGCCAGGAGGGATGTGGGGAACGCCGGGGAGAGATCCGGCACCGCCGGCAGAGAAAGCTCCTGGGGCGGCGAGGGGTGGCAGAACCTCGGGGCAGCCCCTGGGCACGGAGAGGCAGGAGCTGGCACCGGCCCTGTGCCGAGGGGCTGCCCCGGTGCCACCCTCAGTTCCTGGCCGCGATGACCACGGACAAAGCCACGCCGCCCAGCGCGATGGCCGTCGCGCCGAAGAGCCACTTCCAGGGGATGGACTGCGGAGCAGAGCATGGGGACGTGAGGGGCCGTGCCCGTGGCAGGGCACACGTGCCACCCCGCCCGGCCGGCCCGCTGGACGGGACGTCCCAAAAAGGCAGCGCTGGGGACGGCGTGTGCCGCCAGCTGACGGCGCTTCCCGACGACGGACGGGCAGCTGGGAGCGAAGTCCAGAGCCCGCAGCTGGCACGGCCGGGATCCGGCGGGCACGGCCAGCAGCACAGGCTGTTATCAGGGATGTTTTCCGGGCACGGCTCCCGGAGCTCGGCCCCCTGCTCCCAGCGGGATCGCTGTCCTGGCAGCCCGGCCACATCCTGCTCAGCAGCAGGGCTGTGTCCCTCCTGCGGGGCCTGGGGGACACTCACACACCCGCTGTGGACCCCCACCCCCGAGAGCCTTACCCAGGGCAGTTTGTCTTTGCACTTCCCGGGGGTGCCGGCGGTGCTGGGGTTCCCCAGCATCTTCCTGTACATCTCTGTCTCCACGTTCCTCTGGTCCGCGTGCTTCTTCACCAGCTTGGAGAGCTCGGCGTGGATGGTCTGGGGAGGACAGCGTGCTGTTATCAGCCCTGCAGCATCCCTGCCTGCCAGGGAGGGGACCTGTCCCCAACAGCACGTTCCACCACCCCTGGGATGTGCAGGAAAAGCTCCGAAAGGGCTGAGGGGGTGACGGGGCCTCATCCTGCCCCATGCCCAACGCCGTGGGGCTGCACCAGGGGACACCCTGTGGGTCCAGTGACCCTCTGTCCTTTTTGGCTGCTCAAGCCACTCCCTGCCTGGCAGCCGGGAGCAGAGCCCAGGGCTGATGCCAGACATCAGGAAAGGGATTTTATCCTTTCATCGAGACAGGAAAGTGTCTGCCTCGAGGACAGACATGCACCAGCTCTCCCACTTTCTGTCTGGAAGCAGGCTGGGAAAGCGGGCTTAAAACTCAGCCTGGTGTGAAGTGGGATTGCAGCAGGACCTGCAGCGTGTCCACATCTGCCCTGCTGGGGCAGGACAAGGCTCCCAGTCCTGCGTGGGGCCCACAGGCTCCCCAAAAGCAGCAGGAAGCACCTCGGAGCTGAGCAGGGCAGGGTGGCAGAAGGACGTGGTGGTGGTGGCCCTGGTGGCACAGCCACGCTGTGCCCTCTGCTGGGGGACACATCCCCAGCACGCCGGCTCTGCCAGCCCGTGCCACGCCGGGAAAAGCTGCCTCCAACACGAAAACCTGGGTGTCAGGAGGACAGAACGCTCCTGCTCAGAGCTCCCCGGGGCTGTCACATCAGCCTCACACAACCACCAGCACCCCCAGAACACTTCCAAGGGCTCAGGAGAAGGGATGTCTGTGAGCGCCTCGCAGCAGGGCAGGTGGAGCCCAGCGTTGCTGGAGTGTTTTCAGCACCGGTAGCTGCGGCCCCTGAGTCACCCACGCCTGCCTGGAGCCCGGGCAGCAGCCGGGGAGGGCAGTAATTTGCTGTCCTTGTGGTTTCGCTGGACACGTCACTGCCGGGCATTCGGATTTTCCAGCCCTCTCCAATTAGAAGCTCCATCGGAACTGGGGAGCAGCCGCCCTGCCCAGGGACGTGCCAGGGGAATGGTTCCCAGTGCTGCTCCCTCTCCACCCTGACCTTGATGGCAAAGGAAGGGTTTGGGGTCCTGCTCGCCCTTCCAAGGGTGCTCAGACCGCCCCTGAAGGTGCTGTGGGGCCACCAGGCACCTGCTTGTGCCACATCTCAGCCGTGACCTTCAGGGACTGGATTGTGACATGTATCCTGATGGTCTGGTGGACCTCCCAAGAAAGAAATGGACACAAGAGATCCAGGTGAGGATTAAAGCCCATCTGGAGAGCCAAGACCCCCAGGATGACCCTGTGCAGGCAATACCTCCCTGCCTCCTCCCAGTCTCGCTCCTGCTGGGGTCATTTCCTGGCACTGGTGTTTGATTTCTCCCGAGGCTCCAGTCCTGCAGCTGATCATTAACTGACAGGAAATTCCTGACCCAGAGCTTGCCCTGCCCGGGTGCTGGACTGAGCTCTGGCTGCTCCCAGCAGCCAGTGATTCACTCTTGGGGCTGCTCAGCGAGTTTGTGGGGACTCAGCTCTGCTCCACTTCCCCCAGCCACAGCACAAAGTGCCCGAGCCACCTGGGGCAGCCTGGACCCTCCCTGGGGCATGGCTGGAGCACGGATGGGCTGGCAGGGATTCCTGTCACCAGCAGGACCAAAGGTCAACGGGGAACCTCTCACCGTGGAGATAAGGCTGGAGACCAGCCCAGCCACACTCCACGTGATGCTTCCATCACTCCCCAGGCTCTGGGGGCTATTCCCAGCCTCCCTCCACGGAGCTGGGGACAGCTCCAGGGAGTCTCAGCCTCCCAGGGGCAACGCTGATTTTGTAGGGACGCAGACAATGGAGAAGCAGCATGCAGGAGATGCCCAGCTCAGGGGGATCACGGGCAGCACACACCTCCAGCCTACCTTGTTTGAAGGCTCCAGCTTCAAGGCTGCCTTCAGGATGGGAATGGCCTCTCTGTACTCCCCCTGCTGAGCCAGCACCTGCAGGGTGACACGCGGGTGGAGGAGCAGGGCTGAGCCGCCCCTCAGCCCCCGCCACGCCGCGCACAAGGGTCCCCTCCTCACCTTCCCCTTCCGGAACAGAGCCTTGATGTTGCCCGGCTGGTGCTCCAGCACCAGGTTACAGGACTTGAGAGCTGCCTTGAAATGGTCCAACTTCAGCTGCGAGGCCGCCAGGTTGTTGAGACACTTCACCTTCACGTCCAGCAGCTCGGCCTCCTCGTCCGGGCTGAAATCCACTGCACACACCCCGAGGCCGGGTTAGAGCAGAGCCAGGAGCCCAGCGACCCTCTCCTGGTGGGGACAAGCTACCTTTGGAGCTGGAGCCCGCGATCCTGAGGGCGATGTCGTAGGAGTTGATGGCCAGCACGTAGTCTGCCTGCTGGTAGAAGAAGTTGCCACGCTCCCGCTTGCGGTTGGCCAGCTGGATCTTCTCCTTGCCGCTGAGCAGCTCCAGGTCCGGCGCGTCCCGAGCCGCCAGCAGCTCCACCTCCAGCCTCAGCGACGCGTTGGGGGGGATGTCAGGGCTCCTGCACAAAGCCACGGGGCCATTGTCACCTCTCTCAGGTGCCGGGCTGGGTGGATTCGGCACCGTGGCTCAGCAATCCGAGCCAGGGAAGGTTCCTGGGGCAGGGAATGATGGGGATCGTTCGGCTCCAGGGAGGACACGCTGCTCGTGAGGAAGCAGAGGTTGGACAGCTGGGCTGTCACCAGGGGAGCAGGGGACAGCTTCTCCAGCCCTGGTTTGGGAGCGCCCTGCCAGCTCTCACCTGCCCTGAGCTCCGTAGCAGTACTTGGCTTCTGACACGATCAAAGCCGTCTCGCCCATCTCCAGGAGCTGCACGCACAGGTCCAGAGCCTGCAGGGGACAACAGAAGGGACTGTGAAGGTTCTCCAGTTCCAACCTCCCGTCACGGTTGGACCTTTACATCTTCCACAAGACCAGGTGGCTCCAAACCCCCTCTAACTCAGCCAACATCGCGGGGAAGGAGCATGAGAAAGGGCAGAGGGGCTGCTTATGTCCATCAAAGGGATGTCACCGACCCCAACCCTCCCTGTGGCCCCCGAGGTGAGGTCCTGCTCCCAGGTGAGGTGCTCACCTGCAGGACGTCGCAGTCCCCCAGCGTGAAGGTGAGGGCAGGGTCCTCTTCCACCACGGTGCCATCCTCCAGCGTGGCCTTCAGGCGGATTGTCACGTCCTGGCCCTTTTGGGGACGGCTGTCCGCGCCCTGGCCCGGCACCAGCGTCTTCTTCTTGAGCAAACCATTCCCTGCGCACAGAGAGAGCGAAGCACATCGCGGGGAGGGCAAAGCCCGGCGGCCCCCACCCTCCTGCGCCTCCCGCCCGGCCCTGGCGGCGGCGGCAGCCCCGGGGGAGCCCCGGCACCGAGCAGCGTCCGCTCTCACCCAGAACATCGAGCCACTCCTCGGGGTCCCCGGCCGCGCCCCCCGCGCCCCGCTCCGGGGGCTGCGCGTCCTCCCGCGGCGGGGCCGCCGGCCGCCCCACGGCCTCCAGCGGCGGCAGCTCGCTCAGGTCATCCTCCTCCTCCTCCTCCTCCTCCTCTTCCAGCACCTCGAAATCCTCCGCCGTGTCCAGCTGAGCCGCGTCCGCCGCCGGCTCGGTGCCGGTGCCCGCCCGGCCCGGGGAGCCGCTCCTCGCTTCTTCCCCGCTGGACGCCATGGCGGCGGAGCGACCTGGAGCGGGGGAGAGAGAGCACAGGGATGGAGCCTGCTCTTACCGGCAGAGCCGCTCCGCCGCTCCGGACAGCACCGGGACCCTCCGGGGCCGGGGGATGCGCAACGGGACAGCGGAGACTCCGGAGCGCGGGGAAGGATGGGGCCTGGCGGGGGGCTGTCCCGGTGGGATGGGGTCTGTCCCGGTGGTGGGGGGGTCTGTCCCGGTGGGACCGGGGGTCGCGGTCCCGGTGCCGTGGGGGGGGGCGGCCCCGCGCCCCCCGCCCGCCCCACGTGACCGCCGCGCGCCCCCCGCCGCTCCCACCTGGCCCGCGGACGCGCGGGCGCAGGCCCCGCCCCCCCGCTCCTATTGGCCCGGCTCCGCCCACCGCGCCACGCCATTGGGCGGGGAGCACGCCCGTCAGCCACGCGCCCGCGGCGCCCCCCGACGCCTTAAAGGGGCCGCCACCAGCGCGGCCGCCCCGGCGCGGCGGGGCCGAGGGCGCGGCACCGGCACCGGTACCGGAGAGGCTCCGTGATGCCCGCGGGGGTCGCGTCCCTCCCGCCCGGCCGCTCTCCGGCACTTCCGGCTCGGCGCGGTGACGGCGCGGGGTCGCGCCCCACGTGACTGCACACCCGGAAGCGGCGCTGCCGCCCCCGGTACCGGGACCGCTCCCGTCATGTGAAGCGGCGGGACGGGCTCCCGCAGGTGCGCGGGCACTGCCGGGAGGAGGCCCCGGGGACACCAGTGGGAGCTCAGGCACCCGTGTTCCCGAGGGAGCCCGGGGCTGGCGGCGCTACCGGCACCGGCGGGCGGCCAGCGGATCCCGTTACCGGCGAGCGGGGCCGCCCCGGGAGGCGGCACGGCGGCGGGGTGCCCGCTGCTGGGTGCACGGCAGGGCGGAGGGGGTCCCGCTGTCACGGAGGGGAAGGGGAGGGGGGGGGTCTCCGTTACCGGTGCGGGGAGCGCGGGGGGCTCCGGTGCCCCCGGTTGAGCCGGTCCCGCGGTCCCGCAGGCCACGATGGAGCCCACGGCCTCGCAGGTGTTCTGCGGGAGGGTGCTGGGCATGGTGAACGCCGAGGACGTCAACGCCATCATCCTAGCCCAGAAAAACATGTGAGTCCCGGGGGGAGCGGGCGGTGGGAGTGCCGGTACCGGCACCGGGAGCTTTGCCGAGCTCCCGGTGCCTCCCCCGCGCAGGTTGGATCGGTTTGAGAAGACCAACGAGATGCTGCTCAACTTCAACAACCTTTCCAGCGTGCGCATGCAGCAGATGAGCGAGCGCTTCCTGCACCACACCCGGACCCTGGTGGAGATGAAGAAGGACCTGGACAGCATCTTCCGGAGGATCCGGTGCGAAACCGGGGATACCGGCCCGGGAGGTGGCCTGGGGGGGCTGGCGGGGCGTTACAGCGGGGCACAGGTCAGAGTCTGGGGGGCTGTGAGAAGAAAAATCTGCTGCGGAAGGGAAAATACACGATGGAGTGACACGTGGAGGTTGGAGCTTTGGGTTTCCATGATCCTGCTCGGGATGGGATTGGGGTGGGATGGGCTTTAAGGTCCTTCCAAGCACTCTGGGAGTCCCTGGTTCCATGAACGAGGTGACACCATGGTGTGAAGATGTCACCAGGAGGTCCCTGAGGGATCCAGGAGAGCTGGAGAGGGACTGGGGATGAGGGATGGAGGAACAGGACACGGGGATGGGGGGATATGGGGAAGGGATCGTTCCCTGTGGGAACTGGAGGTCGGGCTGGAGGAGGGAAGCTCCAGGGACACCTTGAAGCCACTTCCAGAGCCTGAAGGGGCTCCAGGAGAGCTGGAGAGGGATTTGGGACAAGGACTGGAATCCCAGCACAGGGAATGGCTTCAAAGTGGGAAGGGGAATCTGGGTGGGATATTGGGAAGGAATATCCCACCTCCAGGCTGGGATGGAATTCCCAGAGAATCTGTGACCATTCCTGGAAGTGCCCAAGGGGGTCTGGAGCACCCTGGGACACTGGAAGGTGTCCCTCCCTCTGGGACCTTTAAGATTGACGGTGGGATGGAATTCCCAGAGAAGCTGTGACCATCCCTGGCAGTGCCCAAGGGGGTTTGGAGCACCCTGGGACACTGGAAGGTGTCCCTGCCATGGGTGGGATGGGCTGGGATGGGCTGGGATGGGATGGGATGGGCTCTGCTTGGGATGGTCACAGAACGTGGGATTCAGAAACAGCCCGTGTGCTGGGAAGGGTGGGATGGGCTCTTCTGGGGGTTTGGGGTGGGAATCCCTCAGCCTCGGGGTTCGTGTGCACTGCCCACAGCGCTGGGAGCTGTGGGGCAGCTCGGCTCCGGCTCCCTCCGCTCCCCACGGACTCGGATTGTTCTCTCCTCCCCAGGGCGCTCAAAGGGAAGTTGGCAAAGCAGTACCCAGAGGCTTTCAGCAGTGAGTGATTCCTGACGTGCAGATTCATGGGTTGGGCTGGGAGGGACCTCAAAGCCCGTCTGGTGCCACCCCTGCCGTGGCAGGGACACCTTCCCCTGCCCCAGGCTGCTCCAAGCCCCATCCAACCTGGCCTTGGGCACTTCAGGGATCCAGGGGCAGCCACAGCTGTGCCAGGGCCTGCCCACCCTCCCAGGGAGGAATTCCATCCCAAAATCCCATCCATCCCTGCCTCTGGCAGTGGGAAGCCATTCCCTTTGTCCTGGAACTCCACTCTCTGTTTTATTCCTGTGGGAGCAGTTTCTGTTCCCAAGAACATCTCTCAGGAGTCACAAGTCCATGTGCTGGCATGTAGCTGCTTCCCTAAAAATCAAAAAAACCCTCCTTAATTCCATTAAATCCAGCTGCAAGAAATCACAAACAACCCCTAATTTACGTGCTGGTGATTCTCCGGGTATTTTTTAATCCCTGCTCCCAGCACGATGGGAGAACTGCTCTCCCCACCACCAACCTTTACCTCCCTCTCCCCTCTCAGACATCCACGAGTCCCCCATCCTGGAGGACGACGACGACTTCGACCCCGTCCCCAAGAGCACCACGACCACCATCGCTACCTCGGAGCAGAGCACGGAGTCCTGTGACACCAGCCCCGACGTCATCTCCCCTGCCACCAGCCAGGATTTTGAGGATTTATCCCAAGGCCACTACGACGGCCCGGCCGTGAACGGACAGAGTCTGACAGACGAGGACACGGCCAGCGGCCTGGGCTAGGAGCCACGTCCCACCCCGGAGAACTTTCTATCCTCTATTTATAGCTGTGTGTCGCTCTTTTGGGTTTGCTTTTTTGCTTTTGGTTATTTTTTTTTTTTTTTTTTTTTTTTTTTTTTTTTGGTTTTCCTCGGGAAGAGGGAAGCGAAACTGGGAGAAGCTGAGGGAGGAAGGCGCTGCCCTTCTGCCTGGAAACTGCGGCTGGGGTGGAAAGCCAGCGCTGGCTTCAGGGGAATCAGTAAATCCTGGTTGGAAATGCCTCTTGTCCTCCCTCGTTCCTGCGCTCAGGAGAGCGGCTACGCTTTCATCTGCATAGATTTTTTGGTGCAGAAAAGCCGTTTTTGGGGCACAGGTGTTTAGGTTTTGTAGGAAATGCTGCCTCTGAGGCTCTGTGTGCCCAGCAGCTGTGCCAGGGGCCTGTCCCTGCTGCTGATGGACTTGTGCTGGCTGAGTTCTCCACTGCTGGGATGAGCCAGAGCCGCGTTTGCTTCTCAAACTCACAGTGCTGCTGGTTGCTCCACAGGCACCTCCCAGGAACAGGAGCTGTCCAGATCTTTCTTTTCCACCAGCACTGCGGTGTGATGCAGGAACTGCTGGGGTTGGGGGTCCTGAAGGCCTGGGTGGGGATGAGGGAAGAGTTGGGGGCTGCAGGAGTGGGTTTTGCAGCTGATCCTGGAGCTGCAGCTGTGGGAGCCACCATGGGGTTGTGGAGCCAGCATGGGATGGTTCTGGGGCTGTGGGGCCGGTCTGGGATCCGTGGGGTCAGTGTGGGCCAGTCCCCGGGGCTGTGGGCACTGTTAAATTTGGGGGTCAGTCCCCAGGGCTGTGGGCAGTGTTAAATTTGGGGGTCAGTCCCCGGGGCTGTGGGCACTGTTAAATTTGGGGGTCAGTCCCAGGGGGGTCAGTCCTGGGTCCATGTGGTCAGGGTTGATCTGGTCCCAGATCCGTGCAGAACCTCCGGTGCCCCGTCCCGCGGTGCCGGTGTCACCCCGGCAGTGACAGAGGCGTCCCGGGACGGTACCGGGGCTGTCCCGGGGCGGTGCCGGTGTCCCCGCCGGAGGTGCCGGGGCGGTACCGGGGTGGTACCAGGGCGGTCCCGGGCGGTCCCGGGGCGGTGCCGGTGTCCCCGCCGGAGGTGCCGGGGCGGTCCCGGGGCGGTGCCGGTGTCCCCGCCGGAGGTGACGGGGCGGTACCGGGGTGGTACCGGGGCGGTACCGGGGCGGTCCCGGGGCGGTGCCGGTGTCCCCGCCGGAGGTGCCGGGGCGGTACCGGGGCTGGGCGGTGCCGGTGTCACCCCGGCAGTGACAGANCGGTACCGGGGCTGGGCGGTGCCGGTGTCACCCCGGCAGTGACAGAGGTGTCCCGGGGCGGTCCCGGGGCGGTGCCGGTGTCCCCGCCGGAGGTGACGGGGCGGTACCGGGGTGGTACCAGGGCGGTCCCGGGGCGGTGCCGGTGTCCCCGCCGGAGGTGCCGGGGCGGTCCCGGGGCGGTCCCGGGGCGGTACCGGTGTCCCCGCCGGAGGTGCCGGGGCGGTACCGGGGTGGTACCAGGGCGGTCCCGGGGCGGTACCGGTGTCCCCGCCGGAGGTGACGCCGCCGCCGTTCCGGTCCCGCCTCCCTTTCCCTGAGCAGCGCGGCCGCGGGTGCGCGCGGTGCGGGACCGGAGCGGGCCCGGGGCACGGCTGGGGCCCGGGATCCCGGCAGGGGGACCGGGATCCGGGAGCGGGGAGCGGGGGCTGGATCCCGGCAGGGGCCCTGGGTCCCCGGGGACGGGACTGGATCCTGCGGGAGGGCCCCGAAACCCGGGATGGGGGCTGGATCCCCGGATGGGGGCTGGATCCCGGGATGGGGGCTGGATCCCGGGATGGGGGGCTGGATCCCGGGAGAGCGGGGCGGATCCGGGCACAGCGGGGCTGGATCCGGGGATGGGGGCTGGATCCCGNCCCGGGATGGGGGCTGGATCCCGGGATGGGGGGCTGGATCCCGGGAGAGCGGGGCGGATCCGGGCACAGCGGGGCTGGATCCGGGGATGGGGGGCTGGATCCCGGGATGGGGGGCTGGATCCCGGGAGAGCGGGGCGGATCCGGGCACAGCGGGGCTGGATCCGGGGATGGGGGCTGGATCCCGGGATGGGGGCTGGATCCCGGGAGAGCGGGGCCGATCCCGGGAGAGCGGGGCTGGATCCCGGGATGGGGGCTGGATCCCGGGATGGGGGCTGGATCCCGGGAGAGCGGGGCGGATCCCGGGAGAGCGGGGCCGATCCCGGGAGAGCGGGGCCGATCCCGGGATGGGGGCTGGATCCCGGGATGGGGGCCGGATCCCGGGAGAGCGGGGCCGATCCCGGGATGGGGGGCTGGATCCCGGGATGGGGGCCGGATCCCGGGAGAGCGGGGCCGATCCCGGGATGGGGGCTGGATCCCGGGATGGGGGCTGGATCCCGGCACAGCGGGGCGGATCCGGGCATAGCGGGGCTGAATCCCGGGATGGGGGTTAGATCCCGGGATGGGGGTTAGATCCCGGGATGGGGGCTGAATCCCGGGATGGGGGCTGGATCCCGGGATCGGGGCTGGATCCCGGGATGGGGCGCTCGGGAACGGGGCTTTGGGAGGGTTGGAGCGGCCGGGGAGCGGCGGGGCCGGCCCGGGGTGACGCGGCCGCCGCTGCCGCAGGTGAGAAGGTGCCGAGATGCAGATCTTCGTGAAGACCCTGACGGGCAAAACCATCACCCTCGAGGTGGAGCCCAATGACACCATCGAGAACGTGAAAGCCAAGATCCAGGACAAGGAAGGTAGTGGCGGGGCCGGCGGCAGCGGGGTGGCCCCGCGGGGGTCCCCCGGTGTCCCCAGCACGGTGCTCGTGTCCCGCAGGGATCCCCCCCGACCAGCAGCGCCTGATCTTCGCGGGGAAGCAGCTGGAGGACGGCCGCACCCTCGCAGACTACAACATCCAGAAAGGTGCTCCCCGCACCCCGGGGCTTTTTCGGGGGGGGCGTTTTTGAGGTGCCAGCCTCTCCTTTTGCCCCGGTGTGACGCCGATGTCTCCTGGCAGAGTCCACCCTGCACCTGGTGCTGCGCCTGCGAGGGGGAATCATCGAACCCTCCCTGCGCCAGCTGGCCCAGAAGTACAACTGCGACAAGATGATCTGCCGCAAGTACGTCCCTGTGTCCCCTCCCCTGTCCCCTCAGCCCCTTCCTGCAGCCCCCCGCGGTCCCAGAGCCCCTCCCCAGGGCTCTGCTGACCTGTCCCCCCCAGGTGCTACGCCCGCCTGCACCCCCGCGCCGTCAACTGCCGCAAGAAGAAGTGCGGGCACACCAACAACCTGCGCCCCAAGAAGAAGGTCAAGTAGAGCCTCCAGCCCTTGCCTGCGCTGGCTAATAAAGAATTGCAATCCTCAGCCCCGTTTTCTGGTGGTTTTTTTACCCAAATCGTGGTTTTCGGTACAGCGGGGGCTGTGCTGGAGCGGCACAGAGGGTTGGGGGGGAACGGGGAGGGACGGAGGTGGTGGTGCTGGTGGCAGTGTGTGCACGGACTGGGCCGGCACTGGGACCCCCCGTGCCCACCCGTGGGGACCCCGGCACTGTGCACACAGCAGATGGACACTGGGACGTGGCCGGGGACTGGACCCTGTTCGTGCAGCCCCAGCCACGGGGGTGACTGTCCCCAGCACCCCTGCACGCCCCTGCCGTGCACTGGGAGCCTCTGGTCACCACAGCTGGGTCTGCACGGGCACCGGGACCCCCCTAACCACCCCTGGGACCCCCCTAACCACCCCTGGGACCCCCGGCCAGGCGTGCATGGGACCGGCTCGGTCCTGGGCTCTCCCCGTTACGCTGCAAACGCACCGGGAGCCCCCGGCCGCGTGTCCAGGGACGGGCACCGGGACGGGTACCGGGACGGGTACCGGGAGCCCCTGTTCGCGGAGCCCCCGCTGCATGCCGCTAGGCGTCACCGGGACCCGGCCGCGCGCTCCCGGCACGGGCGGCCCCGGTACCGGGGACGGGGCTGGCGGCGCTGCCGGTCGGTGCCTGCAGGTGGCGGCGGAACCGCGCTCCGCCCCGCGGGCCCCGGGCCTGCGCCGTGCGGCCGGGCCGGGCCATGGTGAGCGGCACCGGGAACGGGACGGGAACGGGAGGGGCGGCACCGGGAACGGGACGGGAACGGGAGGGGCGGCACCGGGAACGGGACGGGAACGGGAGGGGCGGCACCGGGAGCGCGACGGGAACGGGAGGGGCGACACCGGGAACGGGACGGGAACGGGAGGGGCGGCACCGGGACCGAGCGGGTCGGTGCGCGCGTGGGCACGGCAGGCTCGTGGGTGCGGGGTCCCGGTGCGGGGTCCGGTGTGAACCGGGGATCCCGGTGCCGCTCCGTGGACACGTGGCCGGGGGGCTCCCGGTGCGTTTGCAGCGGGCTGGGGACATCCCGGCGCCGGGGAGGTCCCGGTGCCCGTGCGGGTTGTGTGAGCATGGCCGGGGATGCCGGTACCGGTCCGGTAGAGGGGGGTCCCGATGCGCACATGGACGGGACGGGGGTTCCGGTGCCCGTCGGTATCGCGGACACGTGTCTGGGGGATCCCGGTGTTAGTTCGGTTCCTATATGAGCGGCCTGGGGGCCCGGTGGGTGGGCACGGGGATACGAGGGGTCCCGGTGCGTGACGGGCGGGTCCCGGTGCCGGTGCTGGGCTCAGCTCAAGCACCGCGGCCGGAACCCACCGGGACCCCCAGGACCAGGTGCTGGGCGAGTTCGCGTTGCCCCGGCACTGGGGTGATCCCTCTGGGCGGCACCGGCACTGCCCGGAGCCCGTTACCGGCTCACGGTGCCCGTTACCGGCTCACCGGTGCCCGTTACCGGCTCACGGTGCCCGTTACCGGCTCACCGGTGCCGCTCCGTCCCCTTCTGTCCCGCAGACGGGCGAGGCCGTGCGGGAGCTGCTGCAGCGGCTGCGGGCGCTGCAGAGCGAGCGGGTCGAGACGTACCGGCTCTTCGAGGAGTGAGTACCGGCACCGGCACCGGGGCCGGCACCGGGCGGGGACGGGCTCCCGGGGGGCGGCACCCACCGGGACGGGCGGGACACGCGGCACCTCCCGGAGCGGGGCACCCCCAGCAGGGAACCGGATTCCCCATCGCGATTATTTTGCATCCTGTTGGGACGGGGCCACGGGGAGGGCTGATGAGCTCCAGCTGGCAGCGGGACTCTGCGCTGGACACCTGAATCCTATTTTAGCATCCAGCAGATGATGGACTTGTTGGGATGCAGGGCTGAGAGTGTAAAGGATGAAAAAAACCCAAACCCCCAACTTTCCCCCCCCAAAAAAAATCAGTTTCCAACCCTGTCCCGTGTGAGGGATGAGGCTGCCTGCTCATGCTGCCCAATCCAGGCAGGAGCAGGCAGGAGAACCCTCCCGGTGCTGCCCGTGGCGGGTGGCAAAGGGGGCTGAGCTCCGGGAGCTCCCAGGTGTGTGGTGACAGTGACAGTGGCTTCTCCCCCCGACCCGTCCGCAGGGGCCACCGGGCATACCTGAGCAGTGGCCCCCGCTATGACTTCCCGCGGTACCGGCAGCTGGTGCACGAGGTCACCGTGGCCTTCAGCGGCATCTCCCGGGAGGTGCTGGCCATCGCCGGGCGCCTGCGGGACGAGCTCGGCCGCCCCGAGCTGGCCCAGCACCTGGCCCGGCTCCAGGAGCGGGAGCAGGAGAAGCTGCAGCTGGTGGGTGCTGGGCTGGGGGGGCTCCCCGGGCCAGTGCTGGGGCTGGTTTCGGGGGGTCTCAGCTCCCGTGGTGTCCCCCCCGCAGACGGCGCAGCTGCAGCTGGCCCAGCAGCAGGCACAGGACCAGCCCGAGGTGGACGCCCATCGGCAGGAGGTGCGGGAGCTCAAGCACAAGTAGGTGGTGGCTTTGCTGCTGTCCCCCCTCATTTTGGGAAGGCAGCACCCCCCTAGGCTAGAACTTCCATTGCCATCCCCTTCTCCCCTCGTTTTGGGGTGGCACCTCCTCCCCAGCCCGCTCAATGCTGGAGTGTCCCGAGTTGGAAGGGACGCGCACGGATCGTGGAGCCCAGGCCAGGAGCCCCTTCCCTGCCTTTCCCTGCCTTTCCCTGCCTTTCCCCGCCCTCCCTGCGGCCCAGGGGGGCCCAGATGGTGCCTTCGGGGTCTGGCGGCGCTGCGTGGCCGCGTCCCCTCGGCCTCCCCAGGCTGAGTGTTTCATAAACAGCGCGGGGAAGGCGAGGCGGCCCACATAATACGCTCCATATGGGCTTTATTTATAGTTTCCATCCGCTCTCGTAGGCTAATTAAAACCATTGAGGCAATCAGCGAAATTCTCCAGGACCTGAAGTACGATTCAGAAGAAGTTGAGTGATGGGTGTCCCCGTGGGAACGGCTGGAGGGGCCGGGCTGGTGGAACGGGGGCCCCGCTCATCCCCCACCCGCTCCCGGTGCACCTTGGCAAGGTGGGCATTGTCCTCTGCGCCCCTTTTCTGGGGCACAGGCTGGAAGGGGTGGGGAAGCCCCCTCTGGGACAAGTGGGCTCCCCCTAAATCCTGAGTATCCCTCAGCAGAGGGGTCCGGCGTGGGGCTGGTTCCCCTCCCCGGCAGTGCCAGGGCTGTGCCAAAGGCAAACCACACCCTGCAGTGCCACGGGGCTGCCGTGCTTGGCCCCCATCGAGCTGGGCACCATCCCTGCTGCCAGCTGGATTCCCATGGGCAGCAGCCCCCCAAAACCACATCTTGGAGACTGGCTGTGCCCCCAGCCCCGCTGCAGCTCCGGTGCTCCACAAACGCTTTTTCTAGGGTCACCCCAAATAAACCTGTCCCCACGGAGCTGGCCTGAGTGGTGTGATCCCAAGGGTTTGCGTGGCCCCCGTTGCTCCAGTGCCACCCCCTCCAGCTTGGCTGGGTCCCCTGGGAGCCCCGGGATGGGGTGACAAGGGCCACGGGCCCCATTTGGCTGCCCGCTGCATCCCCGTCCCCGCGCAGCGCTGCCGCTCCGCTGACGCAGACCCCGGTGGGGTTTCAGAGGTTTATTGGCATTAAGCTTAAATCTGTTCCTAATTGACTGAAATGGAACCAAAATAAGGCTGGTTTGAATCAAAACTGGAGCAGGCACTGGGCAAACCCCAGCAGCCTCCAATCAGCCCGCGTGGCTCCCTGGGGACGGACCCCTCCGTGCACTCGCACGTGGGACCCTGGCGAGAAAAAGGCCAAAATCGCTTCCCGGGGAGAACTGCGGCGAGGGGTGGGGGTCACCCGGGAAGCCCCCGCCGCCCCTTTCATCCCAGGGGCTGGCGGAGCAAAGCCTCCGTGCCTCCCCCGGCCGGGCAAGGCTGGGGGGTCCCCTCGCTGCCGCAGGGCCGCGGTCTCACAGAGCCCCCGGGGCTGGGCCAGCCCGGCCCCCCAACCTCTCCCCACCCCGTGCCCCAGGGCTGCGGGGCCGCGCTGCGCCCCGGCCGCCTCCCGGTGCCCCCGCGGCGGGGCCGGGGCGGGCGCGGGCGGTCCCGGGTGGGCGCCGGGCGCCCCGTCCCATCCTGCCGGCGCTCGGTCCCCCGCGGGCTACAACTTATCGCCGGGAAGAACCTGCGGAGAGGAGCAGAGCCCCGCGTCGCCCCGGGGTCGGCGTCACCCCCCAGCATCCCTGGGGTGGGGGGTCACCCCGCGTCCCTCCCCCCCTCCCCGTCCCCACCCAGCCGGGGGAGAAGAAGTGCGAAAGGCTCCTTACCTACCTGGTTGCGTGTTTTGTGCGATTTCTGCAGCCACACGCGCCACTGGTCGTAGAGTTTGATGCCGAGGTTGGAGCAGCCGTAGGCGTGTTTCTTCACCCACCCGAAAAACTGCTTCAGCTCCCGCCGCAGCGTCGTGTTCTGCTCGCCCCCCTTGGGGTCGCAGCCCCCCGCCACTCGCTCTGCGGGGACAAGGGAGTCAGTGGCACAACCCCCCCGTGGCTGCTGTGCCGTGAGCGAGGAGGCAACACGAGCAGGTTTTGGCTCCCAAAAGGAGAGAAAGGGGAAAGCCGAGCTCCAAATTGGCCCCTTTGCGAGAAATCCGGGTGCTGGGAGCGGGGAAGGGTCCCGCGCATCCCCCGGTGCGCGGGGAGGGGAGCGCGGCCCCGGCGGGCGCTGCCGGCCGCACTCACCGCTGCGCGGGGTGGAGGCGGCCGTGGGGTTGCTCCAGTCGCTCCAGATTCCGGCTTTCTTGGAGCCGTAGATGCTGAAGGGGTTGCAGCGCACCTGGACGAAGTAGACGGTGCCGGGGCGCAGGCCGGCCAGGCGGCAGGAGGTCTGGTTGCCCACATCATCCACCACCTGCGGAGGGAGGAGATGGCAGCGCCCGCACCCTCGGGCACCCCGCGCTGCGCCCCGGTGCCCACCCACCTTCCACTCGGAGCTGTCCTCCACCCGGTATTGGATCTGGTACTTGGCTTGGAAGAGGAAATCCTTGAGGGCCGGCGGGGAGCTCCAGCGGACGCTCAGCTGGTCCTCCAGGTCGCCCACCCTGCTGACGTGCACGTCCGACGGCGGGTCCGTGGTGACTGCGGGGACAGCGGCAGCGCCGCGGGGCCGCGAGGGTTAAGGAGCCGCGGATGGAAAAGCGGCTCGGAGCAAGCAGCCTAATTCGATTAGGAGCAATTCTGCTCACAGATCGCCCATTTCCTGCTGCCCCCCGCCCCAGCCCGGCGCGGGCTCTCCCCGCCAGGTCACCGGCGCGGCGCTGGCACGGTGACAGCGCGGTGACACCGCGTGGCTCACCCACGTCCAGGATGTCCAGCATGACCACGTCGGACACGGCCACCCCCAGGCGGTTGGACGCCTCCACCCAGATCTCGTAGGGCGTGAAGAGGGCCAGGTCCTTGGGGATGTGGCAGGAGTAGGTTCCGGCCGTGTGGTACTCCTGGCAGGTGTTGTCCTGGCCGTACCACCTGCGGGCAGTGATGGATGAGGTACCGGCACCGCTCCCCCACCCCCGGGGTGCTCCCGTGGGTTGCTTTTTTGGCTGTTCCACACCGCCAGAATTGGGGAACCGGCCCTGTGCTTCACTCAGGGATTCCCAACTCAACCAGGCCCGCAGCAGCTTCTCCTGACCCTCCCCAGCTCCACGAGGAAACTCATCCCAGCAGCACCTCCCCCGAGCAGGGGCCAGCCAGGAGGCATCGAGCTGTCTGTTCCCTGTTTCCCATTAAATCCCACTCCAACATTTTTAACAGTGATGGGGATGAAGGTGAGCACCCACCTGCGCTTGTACTTGAGGGTGTAGTTGGTGTGCAGGAAGGTCTCCCCTTCTGTCCCTGGTGCCCACTTGCAGGTCAGGTCCTTCATGTTTTTGGACCAGCAAGTGATGTTGACTGGTTTTTCTGGGGGCACTGGGAGAGACAAAAGCCAAAGAACAAGAGGTTCCAGAGCTGTTTTATTCCAGCCACGGAGACACAACCCCCAAATCCAAGCTGCATTCCCAGCTGAGCCTCTGTATTCCCGGGAATGCGTAGCGACCCAAAAAACAAACCCAGGCTGCATTCCCCGTTCCGATTCTGTATTCCTGGGACGTGGCATCGTCCTTAAAATAGCCCGAGATAAAATCTTACGATTATTGGTTCGGACAAGCGCGTTTTAACCGAGGCTTTGCCGAAACAGCCTCTCAGCTGCACGCGGGTCAGGGCTGCACCACAGCAGCTCCTGGCAGTTTTGGTGAGAGCCACGATGCTGAATCCTCCGTGGGGATCCCTGGCTTCCCTCCCACGGGGGAGGCGCATCCCGGGGCTGGCCAGACCTCGGTGCAGAGTGGCTGGACCCCAGCACCAGCTGGACCCTGGCCTGGAGCAGCCAGACCCCGGCACAGGGTGGCCAGACCCCAGTGCAGAGTGACCAGACCCCAGCAGTGACCAGACCCCAATACAGAATGACCACACCCCAGCACAGTGACCACAGCCCAGCACACAGTGACCAGACCCGAACACAGTGACCAGACCCTGGCACAGAGTGACCACACCCCAGCAGAGTGACCAGACCCCAGCACAGTGACCACAGCCCAGCACAGTGACCAGACCCCAATGCAGAGTGACCAGACCCCAATGCAGAGTGACCAGACCCCAGCACAGAGTGACCAGACCCAGCAGAGTGACCAGACCCCAACACAGTGACCACACCCCAATGCAGAGTGACCACAGCCCA